TGGCAATCGACCTGGCGGTGTAAGGATGGGTAATGGGTATGAAGTGAGCATACTTCGTGAGGCGATCCACCACAACCATAACACCGTCAAATCCATTAGAATTTGGTAGCCTCGATGAAATCCATGGTGATGTCTTCCCAAATTGCCTCGGGTACTGGTAATGGTTGCAATAGCCCACTTGGCCGTCGCGAATCAGACTTAGTGCGTTGGCAGTCGTCACATCGCGCGATGTAGTCTCGGACGGTACCCTGCTGACCCGGCCAGAAGAAAGTGTTGGCTATTCTCATCCACGTGCGATAGATACCCGAGTGGCCTCCAACCTTAGAGTCATGGAAGTGCTACAAGATCTGCTCGCGCAACTGCCCACTGTCGGGGACATAGACTCGAACTCGGTGTAGAAGTAAATCATTATGCAGCTCGTAGTCGATAGCAGTTGTCTTACCTGCTTCTATCGTTCGGCGCAGCTCCTGGCAATGGGTATCCTCTACTTGCGCCTTTCGGATCTCTTCCCAAATGGCCCAAGTAGGCCCAGTGATCGCACTCAACTCGGCCACGTCTGTTCGTCGGGATAGTGCGTCAGCTACTGCGTTCTGTCTACCTGGTCGATAGATTATCTCAAAGTCAAACCCCATAAGTTGAGACACGAACTTCTGTTGCTCGGGGGTAACAATCCTTTGTTCCAATAGGTGCTTGAGCGGTTGCTGGTCGGTAACAATTTGAAATAGCCGACCTAGTAAATAAGGCCTCCAGCATCGCACAGCCTCGACAACTGCTAGCATCTCTTTCACGTACACTTACAGACCCACCCGAGTAGTGCCCAGTGCCTTACTGAGATAGGCTAGGGGTCGCCCCTCTTGCACTAGTACAGCTCCAATTCCGATGTCGCTCGCATCGGTGTGTACCTCGAACAAGAAATCAAACCTAGGCATGGCGAGTACTGGCGTTGTTGTCATAGCTTCCTTCAATTTTTCAAACGCCTTCTCGCTAGCTTCGGTCCATGTGAACCCACCTTTCTTAGTCATTGCTGTCAACGGTTTGGCGATGGTTCCATAATCTTTTACGAACTTCCGGTAATAGCCCGTGAGTCCGAGGAATCCTCTCAACTGCGTGAGACTAGTTGGCTTAGGCCAGTCGACCATAGCCTCAATCTTTCGTGGGTCGACTTTCACACCGTCATGTGATATGAAATGACCAAGATATTCAACCATCTTCTGCCCGAATGAACATTTGGACGGTTTGATGTGGAATGAGTTGGCCCCCAAAATTTCGAGAACTATCCTTAGATGCCCAAGATGTTCGCCCCACGACTTCGAGTAGATTAGGATATCATCAAAGAATACCAAAACGAACTTACGTAGATACTCTTTGAAGATAGAGTTCATGGCGAACTGAAAAGTGGATGGGGCGTTGCATAAGCCGAATGGCATTACCAGATACTCATAGTGTCCCTGGTGTGTTCGAAAGGCCGTCTTTGGAATGTCGGCTTTGTGGAGCCGAATCTGATGATAACCAGCTCGTAGATCAAGTTTAGAGAAATATCGCGACCCTGCTAACTCATCCAACATGTCATCAACACTTGGAATAGGAAACCGGTCCTTGATGGTTGCAGCGTTTAGGGCTCGGTAATCAGTACAGAACCTCCACGTGTCGTCTTTCTTTTTGGCTAACAAGACTGGAGAAGAAAACGGACTCTTGCTATGCTGTATGAGTCCTGATTCAAGCATCTCGGCCACCTGTCGTTCGATCTTGGTTTTCTGAAAGTGAGCATACCTGTAAGGGTGGACATGAATGGCATGTTGTTCATTGACCAATGGTATGCGATGATCGAACTCTCGGTGCGGTGGTAGTCCTTTGGGCTCGCCCAGTACTCCTTCAAACTCTTCGAGAAGCTCACGCACATCTCCTTGTTGTTGTGCGCCCCTGTTCGAGTGTGCTCCCACGTCCTCGACTATTACTGCAAAAATTTGGCCTCCACCTCGCCAAACTCTTTCAATATTTTTCAGCCCTACTTCCTTAGTTTCTTTATCAGTGCCGGCACTTAGGGTGACCTGCCGTCCTTCGGAGTTGAACTCCATAATGCCTGTCCGATAGTCGGTCGTCACCTTGCCTAACCCTTCAAGCCATTGAATTCCCAGTACTACATCTGGCCCAACTAGTGGTAAAGCATACAAATCAGCTTTTATCGTGACCCCTTGGAACTTGATCGGCACCTTCCGAAAAGACTCAGAGCATTGCAACCTTTCTCCATTGGCTACTCGTACCTCAAAGGGCTCGATCTTTGTGGTTGGCAATCTCAACTTTTGCGACAAGTCAGCATTGTTGAAATTATGCGATGAACCATTGTCCACAAGTACCACTACTCTTCGATCCTTGACCCATGCTGGTAGTCGTATTGTTTTCGGACCTATGATCCCCGTCATCGCATGCATCGAAATTTCAGGCTCCTCACTGAGGGTCTCAATCTCGTCCTCCTGATGCGATTCCTCCTCAACCTCAACCTCCTCGTCATCCGGGTTGGCCACCTCAATGACAAAGGCTTTCTTGCACTGATGGCCCGGAGTGAACTTCTCTTCGCACTTAAAACAAAGACCTTTCTCACGTCGCCGCTTGACCTCCTCGGGAGACAGCCGCCTTACTATCGACCCTGCTGGCCGAGTGTTAACGTTCGGCCGTGTGCTGGCCGTGGCTGGGTTAGGTCCCGTGCGACGCGTATCCGTGAATCGCACGTCCGCCCGTCCCCTTCGCGTGGCGACGAGGTGATCTTCTCGCCGTCGTGCCACTTCCATCGCGTCATGCATGGTGTCGGGCCTCTCGAGTCGAACTTCAGCGGCCAGGTCAAATTTCAACCCGCCGATAAATGCGCCAACTAGTGCATCTTCCGGCTAATCGCGCACATGGCAAGCCAACCGTTCGAACTCCCTAATGTATTCGCGTAGACTGCCTGTTTGCCGTATGCGCGTTAGAGCCTCATTGTAATTATGATAATCGGATGTACCAAATCGCGTAAGCAACTCTCTCTCAAAAACATCCCAAGTAATAATTTGCTGTCGCTTGCGATAGATCCTTGTGAGCCACTGCCACCATACGTTGGCCTCACCATCAAGATAATAAGCTGCGTATCTCACGCGGTCGGGACCGTCGGTTTCATTAAGCTCGAAATATTGTACTGCCCTGTGGAGCCATGCGTCCGGATCGCTGCTTGTGAACGTGGACAGCGTGATGCGTGGCTTGTCAACCCTCGGACGTTCGTGGTATGTGGACGCCTGGGACTGCCGATCGAGGTCGTCCTCGCGCTCACGCTCCTCGCGTCGCCGATCCTCTCCTTCAGGCCGCTCGCGCTCGTGCCGCCGCGCCTGATCGCGTTTCTGCGGTGGTGGCAGGAGAGCGAGAACCGTGCGTGCCATCTCATCAAATCGCCGGTTCATGGTTTCCATTAAATCTTGCACTGTGGATTTGGTACTGCCGAGTCCTTCACCCAATGTTTCGATAGCTTCACTCATGCTGCGAAATTGGACATCGAGATTATCGATCTTGTCCTTCATCTCTTTGTTGGCCATAGCTTTCTTCTCTTGCTTGCGTTCCTTGCTTCGGGGACTCGTGTTTGAAGAAGAT